TACTATTTTTCAAGAAATTTACATTACAATATTTAGGTTAGTATAATACAACACATAATTTATAGTTAAAAATGTGTAATATATTTATTTTTTATATTAATAATGCTTACAATCCGCAGCTAATGAATGTCAAACCTCACTAACCTAGTAGTGTTAGTCACCCTATCCCTAGGCCCCCTATTCTTTGCTTCCCTTTCACTCAACACTTTTAATTCATTTGAGTTCCAATATTCTTGCATTTGAGCCCATATCTAAATAAGGATCTAACAGGACTACTACATCTGGCCTTATATGTATGATGAAGTGCTAGTTGCTCTATAGAATCAAAGAATGCAAGGGGAAATATTATCTCTAACTTATAAATTATTTCAACAATCTTTGCTTTCCTCATCTACGTCTCATTACTCTAATGACCATAGAATAAGGTGAACAAAAGAAGTTATTAATTTTGGTCAAAAGACCCCATATGGCAACTAGTAATAGATTGCAAAAGCAATTGGAATTAGTCCTTGCATGAACACATGACAATCATAACTTTTCACCTTGGATAACTTGGACTCATTCAATTTGACTTATCTTGATATGTTAGAAGTATATCCATTTAGGAAGTACAATTGTTTCAACCATGCATATAGAAGCTTTTGCTTTTATGTGATAAGTGCACAAGGGACATAAGGCTTCATAAGCTTACCATGTTTATCATAACCCATGTCAAGTTTTTCCTAGTCACAATAAATTGCTAAGTCCAGTCTTGCGTTTCTATTGTCTTTTGCCATACTGTTATTCATGGTAGTGTGAATTATATTATTAAAGAAGTTTTTTTCACAGTGCATTATATTAAAATTATGTCTAACAAGATTATTTTGCTAATATGGAAGTTTTCAAAAAATGCTCTTCTTCATCCAATTGTGAGTGTCTTGAAAACCCTTAACTATATAGTTTTTGAAGGGTTTTTGAATAACACTTCAAGAAGGGCTTCAACTTGGTGATGCATTAAAACACCATCTAATTGAGGAGAAGGAACCTTGAATTCAACCTAGCCTTCTAGAAAATTTTTTGCATCAAATCTAAAAGGAATAATTAGGGTAAAACGTAATGATGACAAATGAGAAAAGATGTTTTATGAAAATTATGAAGATAGAAAGGTCATATCATCTCCACGGAGTATGGACTAGATAACTGGCCATGAGTACTTTAAGTAGACACCATGCTGTAACCTAGAAAATTAGTGATGGTCCACATCAACATAGCATACATTATAAAATTTTGCTTATAAAAACTATCGTATGTTTCCACACCACTCGACCATAACTTTTTCAAGTCTTCAATCAATAGTCAAAAGAATACATTGATATTTCTACTTGGGCCTTTTGCATCTACAATGACCAATGTAAGGAGTTTAAACTCTAACATTATACACATGTCCAACAGCAAGTTATAAACAATCAAAGAAACTAGTCAACAAGAGTAGGGGATTTGAAGAATGATCCCATGGGTTGAAACCATCAGTGGCAAAACCCAATCAAACATTACACAATTCTCATTTGAAAGAAGAATTTATTCAATCAAAATGCCTCCAAGCTTTCGATTATGCTAGATGAATGAAACCCATTTGTATCATCACGATATTTCAGATGTCATATTATATGCTCAGTTGTTTTTTGAGACATGTATAGTATTTAAAGGCAAGGTATTATTGGCAAGAATCATAGAGAGTTTCTTAATTAGAATGCACTTTTGTTGTTTCCTCCCTAGATTCTCTATTTATACCTCACTTCTCCACAAATTGGACATGTGATCAATGCATTTATATACTTCCCATAATAGAAGAAGCAATTGTGAACACAAGTATCAATTTTTAAATAACCCAACCCAAGCCTTTTCATAAATTTTTTACTTCATAAAAATTTGCAAAAACTTTTTCCAAATCTTTAGCATTGAACAACCTCCTATATCCTTTAATGATGGCATTAAAACCACCACTAGTTACATTATTTTCAATCTTAGTTTGGAATATATAGGAGTTGATGCGCTAGAATCACTCTAGTAAGTGTACTAGTCAATCCAAGTAATATAATGTTAAGTAAACTGTCGAACCTACGAGGACTGTGATTAACTAAATACCAAAAATAATTAATCTAAATTTATTTGAACAATCGAAAAGAAAAAAACTTTAATTAAAAATAATAGAAAGAAAATAATAACTAAAATAAAACTAATCAAGATATAAGGTATTAAGGTATCGATTTCATCTTAATCAATCAATATAAATTCTGAATTAATATACTTTTAAAACTAATTTGTTGAGTGTTATTGCATGTGATAGCAGATTTCTCTGAATTAACTAACTAGCTTTTCAAGTCAAGTTAATCCTTCATTTATTTGTTAAATTAGTCATATCTATATATAATTTTAAATAAACTAATGAACATTAAATTTTATGAACACCTCTAGCTTAAGAAGGGAGAGCTCCTATTTCTCTTCTCTCCTTCCATTACTACATGTAACGTTAATTACCTCTCGATCTTATAATCTAACACAGTTTATATTATTATTGGCCTAATTTACGCAATTCTTTCTCAAGTTCATGCATAAATCACTAAATCAATTGAAAGATGATCAGGTTTTCAATACATTAAATTCAATAATATAAACTCATCATGTAAATAACTTTAATTGAAAATATAAAATCATAAAATCTATATTAAATTGATGTACCCTTAATAAAATAAATTAGTTCATAATAAAAATAATAAAACCAAAAATTATAGTTATGAACATTCGAATATCAAATAATAGATAAAAAGAATATAAAGAAAAACAAAACTCAATTTGAGGAAGTTGAAAATTTTGATATTCTATTATTGATAAATCCTCTATCTTGATCTCTAAGAGTGCTTAAAAGAGGGCTGTTATCAACCTCCAAAGCTCTCCAATTCTGAATTTGGATGAGTATTTATAGGATTTTAAAAACTCTAATTGAAATAAAAGTGAGACCCACATCTAAAATAATAAACTGAAAATCATGGAAGGGGTCAAAACCTTCAAATAGGTGCTGACACCTTCTGTTAAGCGCACATTCACATCACCGTGTCGGGTTTTTGGCCTTCCAAGCCATTTCTATTAATAGTAAAATGACAGTTCTGGTCCCTTAATTTTTGGATTCCGCACAAATTAATTTTCTACTTTTTGATCTTTTCAATTTGCTCTTAAAAATTATAATTTCTTCCAATTAAGTCCTTTCTTACATAAAGAATAAAAATTATGTAAAATAAAGTAAAATCTAATAAAATTCATCCAAATATCAATAATATCAAGATAAAAGTTTGACATTAATATTTATAAATTTAGCTCATCAGCGTCCCAGTTGAGCACTGTTTCATTTTTTTCCAAAACTACTAAGCAGTATTATGGATGGATAAAGCAAGTTATAAAATGCCTTTGCTTACTTGTTTGATTCCTCATCCAAAGGTTGATTTGGAAAATTAGTTTCTATTTCTTCATACTCATCATCCTTTGGACAAACTGCATCATACATCATCTCACAAAAGTCATTTGTATCATTAATGGTGTGCATTAATAGTGTGTGATGTCTCACTTAGATTAGCAGTCGACTATGGGTATGTTGAATCCAAAAACCTTTCACTGTGAAACCTTCATGTAGAATAAACATTCATAAAAACATTCTAAACAAGGTGATCCCACATATTCCTAGAGTTATCATCGACAAATTCAAGAATTTACTGCAAGGATATTTGATTAGGTCATTAGGTCCAAAACCTAACCTACTGTATGCAAATTGAATGAAAAACTCAATTTCATTGTAGAACTTGTCATGTATTTCTCTGTGAGGAGCTCAATGTCTATACATTCAACTATGAACATCTGTCATCTTATTAAAATCAATGAAGCTAAATAACAATATGATTAGTTTAAAACAATTACAATATTTTTCATATATTTCAATGTTCATTCACTAAAATTAATATATCATATTTTATATTAAATTATTAATAAATTCTCATCAAAATAATTACTCTTAAAAATAAATAAAATATATTATGCATTTTAAATATATATTACTAAATTGTTATATAAAATTTAAAATTCAATCAAAAAAAAATTTTCGTACAGAGATTTTAAAATTTTCTTTCAACAAAAAATAAAGGATTAACTATACAAATATAACAATATGGTAGAAAGATAAAGACTGAAAGGTTCAATATCTAAATAAAAAAAACAATGATTAAATTAATTATATATAC